AGCCAGCAAACGAGTTTATGCCGACAAACTACTGGTAATTTCCCTTGTACTTGCCTCAGGATTACCGAATTCCCAAAACGTTGCCTCTCTATTTCTGCTAGTTGAGCTTACTACTGCTTTCTTACATGAGGATTAATGCTGGAGTTAGCTTGGGTTTGAAGCGGGTAGATATTTCAGCTATTTTATGTCTCCGCAGAAGGAAAAGTGAGAAATTCAGTTTTTTTGAGTTTCAGTGCACATCTTTGCCAGCAGATTTGGTAAAACACCCGCGAATCACTTCTCGTAAAAAGTGGTTCTAAAGCATCCTTCAGAAGACATAGTCCCCAAAATTGCAGAGACTATAGAGCAGGTAGAAGGCAAAGAGCTTTAGGAAGGTTTGTGACAGAGTTTGCAAAAAAGTGGTACGCGATAGTGCAGGGACATGCATTCCCTAATAATTCGCTAGGAGATGTTCCTCATTCGGAAAGCTTTTTGGATTTCACAGTTTTCCCTGAGAGAGCCGTAGAACTGCTCAAAACTGTGTATTCTCACAGCAAAAAACACACAATTCTGATGAAAATCATAAAATGAGGCAATTTTTTGCGCTACACAAGAAGTGTAGATATCACGGACAGAGTTGTTCTGACACTGTCGATGCGTAAAATTTGGAAATTTTTAGCCAAAACAAGAAAAATTACAGAAAGTGTGAAAACTGTTCTACTTTTTTATTGCTACTGTGTGCCGTCACTGTTAAATTCCGGCATTTGATCTTAAAATTAGTGTTTTGCGCGTGCTCAGTCATCCATAAGGGGGCAAGCCTAATGCCAACAGCCGCGGTAATTCTAGCCCCCAATGTGAATATCGTCACTGCCGTGGTTAGAAAGCTCATGCAAAGGCGGCGAAGTTCGCAGAAAACTATCTCTGAGTGAGTCAGTTTCAGCCCACAGTACGCAGAGACCAATAATTAGCGCTCTGTTTTCTCGGTCATTCTCTTTCATCATTAGCTCATGAAATTCACTATTTAGTTCTGCATAAATCCGTACTTTTAATGGATGTGAGTACGGATTATACTTATAGTTCTTGTACTATACTGAAATCCTCTTTTTTTTACTCGTAGCTGTATTATTTTGAGAATTTGCTCGATCCTGGAAAGCGCCTAATTCGTCACCGTCTATTTCGAGAGCACTGCGT